GGTTTACCATTCTTCTGGGAATACGCAGCTTGCCCATGCCTACAGAGGTTGGCTCTTCTCCTGGAGGCATCATGGGGAATCAAACTCCTATCATCTGACTCTGCAGCCAGATACTTCAACCACTGAACTATCCAGCCGGAAAGGCCATATTAAGAATGATCAAAAACATTTGTAAGATTTGGTAATCTTTACGAGCTAAACTTGACCCAAAACCCCCAAAACAAAACAAAAAACAACAACCCCTGTACAAATTTGATGAAGCTACAGGTGTATATTCATGGAGAGGCATTTTTATGGAGATAGCACAGCTTTGAAAGCTGCCAAAAGTAGCAGCCCAGCTACTAGTTGGGCAGAATATAAATGTAAATAAATAAGTAAAATAAAAGCTAGCTTGAACTGCTTTGCTGAGGACGATGGCATTTGCATCCTGGCACTGGAAGAGATGCCCCTAATGGAAGTGCAGGTTACTACCCTCCTGATAGGTTAGGAAAAATGATACTCTCCTATTAAGCAAATGAATTGATCAGGGACATAGTACTGTATTTCTCTGTTGGCAATGGAAAAAAAAAGCTTTTTCTTCTTCTACGGCTGAAGTGGAAAGCAAGGAGATGAAAGGAATCAAGTTATAATCCGTCCCACTTCTGCCAGTACATGCCCTTGCCTGCTTGACTTTCTTTGTTGCCAGCCATAACTAGGACATGTGGTCTAGATCGTGTTACAGGCTAACAACATTTGGAGGACCACAAGTTGCCCACCCTAAAAGAAGCAGTTGAAAATCACCACTGTTAGACATAATGTGCCTTGCACCTGAAAGTGTCCATGAACCAGGATTCTGCTAATGACTGCTGCTTGCAGTTGTTCTTTGTTTATTCTGCCCCCTTCCTTGTTCTTTCACTGGCAGGCAGTGATCAGTTTCTTGGAGCAGCCTTGCAGCAATTGACTGGCAGCCAAGAAAGGGCATTTCAAAGGATTGGTGCTGTACTTTTTAGCTGAAGTGTTTTTTTTAAGCTCCTTTTTAATTCAATTTTGTTTTCATATTAAAATGTGCTTAATTAATTCTGCTTAACATTACAACTTTTTACCTGCTTTTGTTTGTATCTGTCTTTGTTTTTATATATAACCATTTAAATGCTGGTGAGTCGCCTTGGGTCCCAGGTCGAGGGAAAAGGTGGGATATATATCAGATAAAAGAAAACAGTCTCCTTGCCAACATATGTGTATGCATGTGTACATACATGCACATGCTAGTGAACTCAGGAAAACAGAAACCTTAACGTTCTCTGCTGGAAAGAGAAACATTCCCACATTCACCACCGTATAGGAGGAGGCAGTAGTAAACAGGGCAGACCTGTCTCTGCCAGAGGTGGATCCAGGAAGTGAAGTAGGAGAAGACACTACTAGCTCTGCCACCACAGTCCTCCAAGGATGGGGAAAGTTGCAGAAGAGGGTAGGAAGCCATTCTGACTCAGTGACGGCCTTAGGAGAAGGTGATGATTCCCTTCCCCAGGAGGCAGAAGGGATGACAGCTACTGTACATAGCATAACCTGCCTTCCAGAGGCCAGGTCATCAGGACATGTGCTCTGTGTTGCTGCAGCCCCCGTTCTCTCTTCTCCTTCAGGAGGAAGGGGTCATAACTGTTACTGTTTTACCAGTTCCACTCCTCTAGTGAGTTTCCATGGCCAAGTGGGGATTTGAACCTTGTTCTACAGAGTCTGTCACCTATCTAACTACACCACACTGGGCATTTACATTAATTGCTCTTAATTGCTCATTGAAGACTAAACTACCCTCAATCATTTTGCATTACAACAAAAATAACTGGGAATCATATAGTGTTTCTGGGAAGACCAATTTATTTTCCCCCAAGATACAGTTAGGACATCAGCTTAGATACACTCTTTCCTTATTGGAAGGCTTCAGGGCTTCAATCCTGTTCGCTTTGGTTCCACTGCACCACTGCTTGGAGCAAAATGACAAAGGTGGCAGCACTGCTTTTTCCTCCTCATCCATGAAGTAATCAGTTCTAGAGAGCTTCCTGTAGTAGCAGTTCTCCAGGGGATCAACAGTCATCATGGGGCTAGTAGGTGTGGTGGATCCGTTACCTGCTCCTCTGCTGCCTTAAGCAGTTGCCTCACCCAGCTTAATGGTAGGGCCGGCCCTGGTTGCCCATTTCAAATGTTTTGTCTTTTTGTGGGCCAGAAGGTGACAAAGAAATAGACGGATGCAGTGGAAAGTAGTTCAGGACAGAGAACTGCCAGTCCTCCTGTATGAACTCAAGGGCTTCAGATTATCCAGTCAGAACTCTGAATTGTGGGGCTTGAATTTAGGGTTGCCAAACAAATGAAAAACAGCAGCTTTACAGGAAGCCTACCCTGTGGCCATTAGCAAATGACATACCATCTTATGAAAACATTCACCTCCTGATCTTGATCAAGCTGTAGTTACTGGCAAAAAGCTGTTAAACTGCAACTACTTCCTTTTTCTGGCGTCCTATATATTCACTGCAACAGTCTTGTAATATATCTAAGTTGTCAAAGAAAAAGAGAAAGGCAAAAGATAAGGCAAAAGATAAGGCAGGATGACATAAGGTTTTCACCTTATTCCCTACTACACTCTTGTTTGTGAAATGCAATGTATTTTTTAGAAAACATATAAACTGCGTTTCTGGACTATATCCACCAAGGGCAATGAACAAAATATAAGTCTATTACTACTCTTACTATTATTACCAGAAAACCTCTCTCTCTATATATTTTCTTTGGCCCCATGGGGGAAGACATAGAACATTCCATAGCCCAAATCCTGTAGCTTAGTATAGTAAATCACACTATAGCAGATCCATTGAATCAATGGGGTTTTGATCAGTCTGTATCTCTGTAAATTCAATTGATTCAAACGGGCCTTAGCATTGTGAGTCACAACTAGAGTAGGCCTATTGGAATCAGTGGAACATACACAGGAGGCAATTCACCAAATCCCCATTGATTCAAAGGGCTTACTCTAGTGCGATTTATTGTGCTAAGCCACAGGATTTTGGCCTATATCAGAGTAAATGAGTGTTTAGGAGAGGGAGATGACCTAGAGAGAGTTAGGCTTAGATTGGTTTGAATATAGAGTGACAAGTTAGAATTAGATTTGTTAGATGCAAAGGTTTGTTAGATGCAAAGCTGTATAAAGATATTTGGGATATTTAGGGTAGAGATTATTTTTAATTCATTCTAAATGGAATCTTAAATAAATATTATAGAAAGAGTGAATGGGTTGGTTGCAGGACATATAAAGTAATATCAAGTATCTTTTACATTTTTCCACCTTACAATTTTAATTATCTTTATCCTGGTTTTTAAACATTCCAAACCTTTGTAGTTTAAACTTTTGTAAAAATAAAAGCACTTTATGTGCATTGAAATCTCTTTATTTTCTGGTGTTAGCTATCACATCGGCTATTTGGTCTTAGTTCAAACAAGAGAAAAGGAAGAACATTAAATATTTTAAAAGGATGCTGGGCTTAGAACCAATGGTGGCATCATTACCGATAGGTTTGACTTTGACTTTCAACAAAAGGCTTTAATAAAGATCTTTCTCTGAATGAAGACAATGCCCCACAAAGGCTACAGCAGCTTAGTGATCACTCATATTGTCACACTGGAGCATTAGGGTATATGAGTTATACAGTATACTAAGCATGGTGATGGGGTGGAAGAAGAAGCTCCAATGTCTCAAATGTGTGGAGACAGTAATATGAAGGATCACACTAAGTTTCCAATTGGGTGACAGTAGAGTCAGATCTGAGGACAGAAGTCTGTCGTTACTAAGATAAAATGGCAGCCCCACTGAGAGAGACTTGGCTGCATCATAGTTGCAATGGATAGTATTATTGCTATTTAAAAAACCAAAGCAAACCAAAACAAAACATGCAATTACCCACTTTTCGTGCAGATGCTCTGCCTACCTTCAAAAATAATGCAATATGGAATTCTGTCATATGGTAGAATTGATAACATGGATAGTACATAGTAAAGGTAACGTTTAGCTGCAATATTTGGGGTGTGGTGGGATGAAGTGATCAACCTCCTTCTCCTCACACGTTAGACCAAACTATTTATTACTGGTAGTGGCTGTTAGAAGGAGAACATTCCTGAAAGGCAAAAAGTCTGAGTTACCATAGCAGGAGCTTTTCATCACTCCAGTAACTTGTGCCTTAGCTTTCTTTTCTTTTCTCTTTTTTTGGTGATTGTCATCAGGAGGTGAGCACAGGCTTTGTATACAAGTATGATTGCTGGCTCACTCAAAGATCTGCCTGAAGCATATCACTGGAGCATGTAATTAACTTCCAATGTCAGGCTAAATGTAATTTAAGTGGTTTATGCTATTCAAAGCCTTTTGGAGGTTTTTGATACTGTATCATGGATATTCTGACGACTGAAGTTGAGGTGGGGAGCTGATCTTCACTGATTTCCTGATTTTGTGTGCAACAGTAGCATTAACAGCCATCATAGTGTGGGTGGCATGAGTTATATAAAATACATTTATTGGGAAGAGATTAAGTCCAGTATATAGGTGGGGAGCTGATCTTCACTGATTTCCTTATTTTGTGTGCAACAGTAGAATTAGCAGCCATCATAGTGTGGGTGGTATGAGTTATATAAAATACATTTATTGAGAAGAGATTAAGTCCAGTATGTTCCATCCATGAGAACAAGCTCAGAATATGTTAATACAGTAATATGACTGGATGGCTTCCAGCTTCCAAGATCCTTTTGCATAGCGCATTTGATCATTTTGCAAATACAGAGATAGATTTCAGAGTGTGATCAGAAATGAGTATGTACAGTACTCCTCTTGTTTCAAATGACTATTCTTAAAAAAGGGATTTAGTGATTTCACTGATTCTTTGAAAAGCTTTGACATGGCCATAAATCTGAAACAGTGTTTAAAACAAAATGGCACTGACCAGTCTCATTATGTCATATTTTCTTTCTCTCACACACATGAACAGGTCTGAATATAAGCTGCAGATATGCAGGGGTTTTCCATGTGGAAAAAAATCGGCGCTACAGTCTCACAAGAGAAGACGCAGTTGAGCTTTGCAAGGCCCTCAACAGTACCATCCCAACATTGGAGCAGATGCAGAAAGCTTTTGCCCTTGGTTTTGAAACCTGCAGGTAAGAAGTCTGCATACAACACAGGCTGGAGGTGAATCTCCACTCAGTTTTATTTGTTTTGGTTAGGGATTTGTTGATTGTTTTGGGTTTTCATGGTTTTAGTTTGCCCCTGAGGGCATTTGCCAGTTGGATAGTACACAAATGTTCAGGCAATCTTTCAAAATTCCTCTCAGCATTGATGTGAGGATAAAATGAGGAAGAAAAAAAGCCAAGCATAGCTTTCTTTTCTTCCATATTTCTAGTGTCATTTTTATTAAGGTTGATCACCTCAGCATGCATTTATATAGTCTCTTAAATCTGTAATCTTTTTCATACCTTTCAGATTATAGATCTAACTTTAAATTAAGGCCAGCCTCCAACATGAGGCCCACTTTTAATTTTAATTATTCTCTTTCCACTGTGTACATTTTTCTTCTGACAGCTCTTTCTTTTTCCTGATTTTAATCTTTGTCTCACTTGCTCTTTCCTTTTCTCTCCTTCTGTCATTTCATGTTTATTCGATAAAAATGAATGGAAATGGTTGTGAGAAAACCCTTCTGAAATTGAGTATGATGCACTTCACAATCAGTGCAAGAGATGCCACTGAATGTTTGGAGGTTAAATATTTCCTTGCTAGTTCCAAGGGCTGCCCCAAATATCACTTTGTTGAAACCTGCTGCCAGCCCATTGCCTCAACAGCATGAATTCAGAGCACTTGTTCCCAATCATTATTTCAAGGATCTTTAGAGTAAGCCTGTAAAATAAATCAGTATCATCGTCGTCTAGTCGTTTAGTCGTGTCCGACTCTTCGTGACCCCATAGACCAGAGCACGCCAGGCCCTCCTATCTTCCACTTCCTCCCGTAGTTGTGTAAAATTCATGTTGGTTGCTTTGAAGACACTGTCCAACCATCTCATTCTCTGTCGTCCCCTTCTCCTCTCGCCTTCACACTTTCCTAACATCAAGGTCTTTTCCAGTGAGTCTTATCTTCTCATGAGAAGGCCAAAGTACTGGAGCCTCAGCTTTAGGATCTGTCCTTTCAGTGAGCACTCCATTGCCTCAGGCAGGGAGGCTGAAGGTATAGTGGCTTGCCTTTAGGCCACGTAATGAGAAGTTTGAGCCAGACTCCCAGCTCATACTTCTAATTGTGCTATTAGTCACAACACTGTACCAACTCTCATCAGCAGCTCTACAGATAAGTTCTATCAATATTTGCCAGGCTTACTGCCTGCCTACGTAGTTACATGAGCCACAAGGTAGGTTGAACATTGGCCAGGCAACTTTGTTGTCTGGAAAGAATTGTTTACTTGCTTATGAGACTGCAGACCTCAGGTACCGTGTGTCAAAGTTAGTTAACATATTAAATGAGCTGCAAATGTCTTTACAAGTGTGTGGTACCATTAAGTAATCTCTCTGATGATCCACATAACACTGAAGAAAATCAAATTGATGAAATGCCACCATGACATTTAGTGTAGACTCATACTTAGATCAGACATTCTTTCGGAAGGTTCTTATTATTTAATCTTTAAACAATGTGGATATTTTTACTGTGTTTTTTTCTTTTCAGTATAATAGGAGTAAAAATGCATATTCATTGATATGGAAAATAATTAGATTAATTAGTATAGAAAGTAATTGGATTATCTAGTTACTGTTGGTAAAAATATCTAACTGTACATGAGTCGGTCTTAATTCCATAGACTCCAGAAGGCATTCCTAAAAGGTCCCCTATAGCTCTGCTTGCCCTAATGACCAAACTTGCATCATTATTCCTTTTTATAAATTTTTATACAGAACAAATGAAGAAAGAAAACAAACGAACAACAATAGGTTACAACCAAATTAAACATATTTAATTACATCTCCCTGTATGATGATCTTTGCTGGGAGAGAGACAGGGGGAGTGTGACCCTGTTGATACTCCTGGACCTCTCAGCAGCTTTCGACACCATCGACCATGGTGTCCTTCTGGATAGGCTGGCTGGGTTGGGAGTTGGGGGCACTGTTTTACGGTGGTTCCGCTCCTTCCTGGCTGACCGTGTCCAGAGGGTGGTGCTGGGGGGCAGTTGCTCTGCCCCATGGCAGTTATGTCATGCTGTTACTCAGGGCTCAATACTATCTCCCATGCTGTTTAACATCTCCATGAAATCACTGGGAGAGGTCATCAGGAGGTTTGGGCTGAGGAGTCAGCAATATGCTGACGACACTCAGCTCTACCTCTCGTTTTCCACCAATCCAGGTGAGGCAGTTTCAGTGCTGAACTCGTGTCTGGACCTGATAATAGACTGGATGAAGGTTAATAAACTGAAACTTGATCCAGACAAGACGGAAGGGCTGTTAGTGGGTGCTTCACAGGACAGGTTGGGGAGCCATTTCCCTGCCTTGAATGGGGTTATACTCCCCCTAAGGGACAGGGTCCACAGCCTGGGTGTGCTGCTGGACCCCAGGCTAACTCTGGAAGCCCAGGTGGACTCGGTGGCCAGGGGCGCCTTCCTTCAGCTGTGGAAATTGTACCAGCAGCATCCCTACCTGGACGAGCAGAGTCTAATGACACTTACATACAGATGGTAACATCTTGTATAGATTATTGCAATGCACTCTCTGTGGGGCTACCTTTGAAGACGGTCCAGAAACTGCAACTCGTCTGTAATCGAGCTGCGTGGCTGGTGAGTGGTGGGGCCGCTAGGGGACATATCAAGCCAATTCTGATTAAATTACGTTGGTTACCAGTTGCTGCCCCGGCCCAATTCAAAGTGCTTGTTTTGACATATAAAGCCCTAAATGGCTTGGGCCCTGGATA